TCTCCCTTGCTCTCGAAGGGGTGAGACCAGTGGAGTATCTTAGATGGCTGCTCACAGGCTTTTAAGACCCCAGATGCTACTCACCAAGGTAGAATGGAGAACATTGTCTTTATAAACTGTGTTATGCCAGTTGAGCTAGATGTTCCCCGAGATGGACTGTGCTTTTTAATCCATTCTGCCACTCTCTGTCTTTTTATTGGTGCATTTAATCCGTTTATATTCAGCATAATTATTGATAAGTATGAGTTTGTTGCTGTCATTTTGATGTCTTTTTTGTGTGTGTTATTGACAGTTTCTTTGTTCCACTTAATTTTCTGTTCTGAGTTGCTTTTCTTTATGTACTTTCTTTTCATCTTTTTCGTGGTTGTTGATTTTGTATTTGCTGAGTCTTTATATTTTTCTTGTCTTTTATTTTGATGTGTAGGAGTGTTAGTTTCCTTTGTGGTTACCTTAATGTTTACCCCTATTTTTCTAAGTTTAAACCAGTCTTTCTTTTCTTTATATCACCTTGCCTTCCTCTCCATATGAAAAATCTATCTACATTTTTTAGTCCCTCTTGTTTTAATGTTGTCATCTTTCACATATTGACATCTGTTTCCCTATTTTTAGTGTTTTAGCTTTGATTTATTTTTGTGACTTCCCTATCTGTGTCGATATCTGATTGCTCTGTCCTGTGTTCTAGTCTTGGGTTGTTATCTGATGTTATTGATTTTCTAACCAGAGGACTCCCTTTAGTATTTCTTGTAATTTTGGTATGGTTTTTGCAAATTCCCTAAACTTCTGTTTATCTGGAAATGCCCTAATTTTGCCTTCATATTTGAGAGAGAGTTTTGCTGGATATATAATCCTTGGCTGTCAGTTTTTTCCTTCAAGGCTTTATATATGTCATCCCATTGCCTTCTTGCCTGCATGGTTTCTGCTGAGTAGTCTGAGCTTATTCTTATTGACTCTCCTTTGTGGATGACTTTTTAAAAAAATTCCTAGCCGCTCTTAAAATTCTCTCTTTATCTTTGGTTTTAGCAAGTTTGATTATAATATGTCTTGGTGACTTTCTTTTGGGATCTACCTTATGTGGGGTTCAATGAACATCTTTGATAGATATCTTCTCATCTTTCAGGAATCAGGGAAGTTTTCTGCCAACAAATCTTCAACAATTCTGTCTGTATTTTCTGTTATCACTGGTAGGTTATTCCTCTTGATAGAGTCCCACATAATTCTAAGGGTTTCTTCATTTTTTTAAATCCTTTTATCTGATTTTTCTTCAAATAAGTTGGTGTCAAGTGCTTTATCTTCAATCTCACTAATTCTGACTTCCATTGCCTCAATTCTGCTCCTATGACTTCCTATTGAGTTGTCTAATACTGAAATTTTAATGTTAATCTTCTGGATTTCTGATTGCTGTCTATGGATTCTTGCAGCTTGTTAAATTTGTTATTATGCTCTTCTCTAATTTTCTTAAGTTCCTCTATTGCTTTGCCTGCGTTTTGCATAATCTCCTTCCTGATCTCTTTAAGAGTTCTGTATATTAATTCTTTGTATTCTGCGTCCAGAAATTCCAAGAAATTCTCTTCCACTGAAAATTTTCTTGATTCTTTATTTTTGGAGCTTGCTGAAGCCATCATGGTCTGCCTCTTTCTGTGATTTGATATTGACTGTTGTCTCTGAGCCATCAATAAGTTATTTAAGTTTGCTTACTGTGTTGTAGCTTCTTGTTTTGATATGCCCAAATAGGTTGCTCGTGTGAGCTAGCACAATCTCTGGCACCCCTGAAGCTCCAATGTCCTGCCACCAGGTGGTCAGAGCTGCCACTAAGTATGTGAGCCCAGAAGTCTGCCCACTCCTCCTGTATGGATTCAGCTCAGGTGTCGAGGTAGTCGGCCACCAAGTGTGTGGTGCAGGTTCTCACCTACAGTACTAGACAGGCATGAGTGATTGGTGTAGGCACAGGCACCTGGCTGCAGCAGGGAGTCACATGCTGAGCAAGTCCGGGGGCTGACGGCCACCCCTGACTGGGAGGAAAGTGTGTCCCTGTTCCCTAGTGCGTGTAGGTGGGTAGGTTTTCCAGCCAGACTATGAGCACCCAATGCTGTTGGCTGTAAGGACTAGGGGGAACCACTTATTCTTGGGCCCGTCGCAGGTGGCTTGGTGGCATGGGTGGAGCCACCAGTCCTCAGGCCCCTGATGTGGGTAGGTGAAGACCCTGCTTAACAGGCAGAGTAGTGTCAAATGTCACAAACGTGCCACTTCACAGCTGAAATAGCTGGTTAGACTTCAGGTATATACCCTGTTGTACTGGTAATACGGGCCTACGCTGAGGGCCTACGCTGTTGAAATGAGCCCACACAAGTCTATGCAGGGGGAAAAGGCACTCAAAATCCATGGACCCCTTATGCCTGTGCCTAGGCATACGAGCTGTGCTTACCCTGAGTTCCTGGCTTAGGGGAGCCAGCAGATTATTTTTCCCCATTCTTTAATTTGTTCCTTCTCCAAGGCTGGGAAAATGGCTTGGGGCGTGTTACAGGGCCTACTTCCAGCCTAGGGGACTCAGCAGTTGCTGAAGCTGTCCTGGACCCAGGGCAGAGCAGGCAGTGGGGCGATAAATAGGAGAGAGGTTTTTCCCAAAGGGGGTGTTTTTGATCCATGCCATAGGCCAGACGCAAGTACTTATCTTTCGCTGATGGAGGGCTGCTTCTCACTGGTCTGGACAGCCAAGTAGACATTCTGCCACTAGGTCTCTCCTGGTGTGGAAAACTCCAGAGCGCCACTGCTTGCCTGCCTCACCATGCACCACGAGCTGATCCGGCCTGAAGGGCTCAGGCTATCGCTGGGCCAGATATGGCAATGCCTTGGTGCTTCTGAACCGTCTCTCCCTCCCCCTGCTACTCAGTCTGATTCCTCAACTTTGCCTTTGAAGTTCAGGGCTCCTAGATTGTCGTATATGATCAATTCATTTTTTTCGGGTCTTTGTTCCTGAGACCACCAGAAGCGCCTGACTACTCCACCATCTTGGCCCCACTCTCTCTTTTCACTGTTTATTAATAAACTCTTTTGATGTTTAAAATTTTTATGAGGTTCCATTAATTTACTGTCTTTTGCTGTTTGTGTTTTTGTTATGAGAAACCCTGGTGGCAAAGTGGTTAAGAGCTATGACTGGTAACCAAGAGGGCGGGAGTTTGAATCCACTAGGCCATCCTTGGAAACTCTATGAGGCAGTTCTACTCTGTCCTATAGCGTCACTGAGTTGGAATTGACTCAACGACAACGGGTTTGGGTTTTTAATTGTTAAAAGCTAGTTCCAACAGTGTTGCCCCTGCATTTTCTTCTGGGAGTTCTATGGTTTTTCACATTTAGGTCCTTACATCTATTTTGAATTTGTTTTTGTGTATGGTGTGAGGAATGCATCCTGTTTCATTTTTCTGCATGTGGAAAACCAATTTTCCCAACACCATTTATAGAAGAGACTTCTTTCCCCCATTTAATGGACAAAAATCAGTTGACCATCAATGTGTGGGTTTATTTCTGGACTCTCAATTTTATTCCTTGGGTCTGTGTATTTTTATACCAGTACCAGGCTGGTTTGATTACTGTAGCTGTATTATATTTTAAAATAAGGAAGTGTGAGTCCTCCTACTTTGTCTCTTTCACACTGCTTTAGCTACCTGGGGCCTCCTGCCATTCCACATAGTATCATACTATCTTAATTATTATAGTTTTTAATATTTAAAATAATATCCCCCCGGTACTTTTTAAAAAGCATTTATAAAACCTGCATTAAAAACAAAAAGTACTTTTGGCTGTTTGGATTGTGCTCCTCTGAATATGATTTCATCCAGAGAATGGGCCTTGTGGATCCAGGAATCATAGAGTTGTCCACATACACCCAGTGTTAACATGTTTAGAAGGGAAAAAAAAAAAAAAAAATCCTACCGTGGTTTTGGGTGAGGAGAGAAATAATTGGGAGTTTAATTTTTTAAAACTTATTTCCGTATTTTTTATAATAAAAATGTTATTTTTATAATCTAATATTATATATATACATACACATATAAAATAACAAAAGATATATAATAAAAATGATACCAAATACTTCTGAAAAAAAATCCAGGTAAGTTAAAGCTGATATGTTGTTCTCTACTTATTCTAAGCAAGTCTTATTTTTCAAGACTTTATAAAAATTTTTGTGTTTCTTATCAACAGTCTTTTCTGAGTAATCCTTAAAACCAGATCCAGTTTAAGGAGATTTACCTTGCAACTTTTGAGAACATTGTCTTATTTCATAGGTAAAGGAAATAGTTTGCAAAATGCACTCTAACAGAAACACTTTACAAAATGTGTGGCTCTAAAAAATGCCTTAAATTGCTTATTCTATAAGAGCTAATTGTAGAGAAAGTATAGCAGCATTCTATTTATTATCTTTTCCAATGAAGAAAACAGCCAAGCAACAAAATGCACTACTCAGCTAGATGAATAATGGGATATCAAGAATTCGAACATACTTGTCCATAATATTATACATTTATGAAACACCTAGACTGAACAAATATGAAGACATATCTGCAAATGCCATCTCATCAATGCTTAGTTGATACCAATCAGTATTACATGGAAAAAGAAAATCAATAGTTTTTCATGAAGTTTTTAATAAGCTATCATTTTCTCACATGTACACTAGTATCCTTAAAAAGACAGTCACTACTAAAAGTTAAATATTGTACAATTCATAAAAAATATAATTTTGAGAATTTATATGAGTAATAAAGGGAAGGTACCTACTTCAAATGGATTAAACAAGAAAATTTCACTTAAGAAATTTAACCAGAAAACAAGAAACTTCTAGTTTGCCTCAATGAACACTTTTAAAAACTTTTAGTGAAGTAGGGAGATAGTATTTTAGTTCTAGACTTTATCTACGTAGCTTAAATAACCTTAAAAAAATACTTTCCACTACATACATATAAGGCTGCTGAACAGAGTGCACAACTAGAGCAAAAAAGGACTATGCTAGAATGTGAACTCCTGAAGAACAGGGATATGTCTCATTCATCTTCTATCTATCCTCAGCTTCTAGAATAATGCCTGGCTCAAAGTAAAAATGCTTAAGCAAGAGCTGGTGCTTTTACCTGAACTGGGGCAAACACACATTTCTACCTTTGGTCAAGTTTCACTCCACATTGAGCACTACATTTTAAGTACCTGAGCTGCAGTCCCAGTTCTTGGCCCTAGATCTTAAATTGAGTAAGGTACGCCAATATACAAGGAGCCCTGATGGCACAGTGGTTAAGTGCTAGGCTGCTAAATGAAGGGTCAGTGGTTTGAACCCAGCAGCAGCTCTGCAGGAGAAAAGACCTAGTGATCTGCTCCTGTACATTACAGCCTAGGAAAGCCTTTGGGGGCAGTTCTACTCTGTCACATGGGATCACTATGAGTTGGAATCAACTCAATGACACACAACAGCATGCTAATATGCACTCATTTTCTACATTAGTCTTCTCACAGGGATCCTCAGAATCGTTACTGGGCTGTGAATCTTCTCTTATGTGGTCTGATTCTTATTTCCTGGATAACAGTTATTATCAGTGTGCAAAAATAATGCATTTTCAGTGCACGATAAATATGTTCATATGAATAAGAATGAAATAAATGCCTTGCTTTTCCATGGTTTAAATAACAGATACATAGCATCTTAAATTATGACATAATTAGCGATTTTTAGACACTGAATATAATACACTGTATTACAATGTAATATGGTAGGCTTCCATTTTAGGAACAAAAATATGTTTCACATGAAAAAAAGATTTATTATCATTCACATAAAATACAATTTAGAATAAATCTAAATGTTTAGCTTCAAAGCACTTAGAAACAAACATGGAGGTGCTTGAAGATGTATGGTCTCCATTTTGTCCAAAAAGCATATACAAAAAGCTCTCTTGCAATTTATTGATCGTCACCTCGCTGCCTTAAATTTCTAGATTTTCCATTTTCAATTCTTCTCTTTTTGAAGACTGGGGCCACTCCATCTGCCACAACTCCAAGAGAAGTGACTGTTTTTTCTTTAAATACCACTTTGGATTCTCCACTACCATCAGCAACTGAAGCTGATACATATTCATCAGCGCTTGGAAGTTCCAAATCTATGTCCTCACTGGAATAGCAAGTAAAAGTAAAATCATTATTTGACAGAGTAAGACAGAAACTTTTTAGATAACCTGTGTGCTGCCAAAGCCCCAAGACCACCTTTCTCATGATAGTTAATAGTGAGAAGTTAGAAGCTGGTCATTTTAGAGAAAGAAACTATTTTAAAATAAAGACTAATTTTACAATATTATTTAAAATACATAGGTGGACTCATGTCAGAAAAAGTCCCATCTATTCTTTTATTCCTGTTACACATAAGATGCATCCTCTAAGCAAATACTTGTGCTTATTTATGTTTGATAGCAGTTCAAGTGAAGTAGATGGATAAGGGAGAGGTATTTATGAAACTGGTTTTGCTATGGACTGACCAGGACTCTGGGGCTCACAGAACACAAGATAAAAACCATGCAACACCAATGTCCTAATATAGTAGACTTCATGTGTCTGTTTGCCTACCACCTTTTTTTTATAGGAACTAGCCTTTCAACTATCTATAAGGCTAGTGTGATGGGTTAATTTTATGTGTCAACTTGGCTAAGCTATGATTCTCAGTGGTGTGGCCAAATACTAACTAGTTGCTATTTCATAATGTAATATAATCATCTTCTATATATTATATATATTATAATCAATCCGTCAGTGGAAAGAGGGGTTTCTTAGGGTGTGGTTTGCCTTCAGACTATAAATAGATATTCTGGCAGAACTCTCTCAGTTTTGTACTCTTTCCATTGCCTGACCTATGGCTCTTGCGACACAAGCCTGCAGAAATCTCCAGCCTGACATCTGACTTACGGATTTTGGACTTGCCAGCCCCCCATAATCCTGTGAGCCACCAGATGTCTCCAGCCTTTACCTGACCTACGGATTTCAGACATCAGTCCCCACAAGTGCATGAGCCAATCCCCTGAAGTAAATCTCTTTCTATATATACACGTATATGCCACGTGTCTTGTCAGTTTGTTGTACCGTGGGGGCTTGTGTGTTGCTGTGATGCTGGAAGCTATGCTACTGGTATTCAAATACCAGCAGGGTCACACATAGCGGACGGGTTTCAGCTGAGCTTCCAGACTAAGACAGACTAGGAAGAAGGACCCAGCGGTCTACTTCTGAAAAGAATTAGCCAGTGAAAACCTTATGAACAGCAGCGGAACACTGTCTGATATAGTGCCGGAAAATAAGCCCCTCAGGTTGGAAGGCACTCAAAATATGACTTGGGAAGAGCTGCCTCCTCAAAGTAGAGTCAACCTTTATGTTGTGGATAGAGTCAAGCTTTTGGGACCTTCACTTGCTGATGTGGCACGACTCAAAATGAGAAGAAACAGCTGCAAACATCCATTAATAGTTGGAACCTGGAATGTACGAAGTACGAATCTAGGAAAATTGGAAATCGTCAAAAATGAAATGGAATGCATAAAGATCGATATCCTAGGCATTAGTGAGCTGATACGGACTGGTGTTGGTCATACTGAATCGGACAATCGTGTGGTCTACTATGCTGGGAATGACAACTTCAAGAGGAATGGCGCTGCATTCATCGTCAAAAAGAACATCTACCTGAAGTACAATGCTGTCAGTAATAGGATAATAGCCATACCCCTACAAGGAAGACCAGTTAATACAACTATTATTCAAATTTATGCACCAACCACTAAGGCCAAACATGAAGAAACTGAAGATATTTACCAACTTTTGCAGTCTGAAATTGATCAAACATGCAATCAGGATGCACTGATAATTACTGGTGATTGGAATGCGAAAGTTAGAAACAAAGAAGAAGGATCAGTGGTTGGAAAATATGGCCTTGGTGATAGAAATGATGACGGAGATTGCATGATTGACTTTTCAAGACTAATAACTTCTTCATTACAAATACCTTTTTCCACCAACATAAACGGCAACTATACATATGGACCTCGCCAAATGGAATATACAGGAATCAAATCGACTACATCTGTGGAAAGAGACGACCAGGGGCAGACTATGGATGAGACCATCAATTACTCATGCAAGTTGAAGTTGAAACTGAAGAAAATTAGAACAAGTTCACGAGAGCCAAAGTACGACCTTGAGTATATCCCACCTGAATTTAGAGACCATCTCAAGAACAGATTTGATGCACTGAACACCAATGATGGAAGACCAAACGAGTTGTGGAATGACATCAAGGACATCATACATGAAGAAAGCAAGAGATCATCAAAAAGACAGGAGAGAAAGAAAAGACTTAAATGGATATTAGAAGACTCTGAAACTTGCTCTTGAACATTTACAGCAAAAGGAAAAAATGATGAAGTAAAAGAGCTAAACGGAATATTTCAAAGGGCAGCTCAAGAAGACAAAGTATTATGGTGACATGTGCAAAGACCCAGAAATAGAAAACCAAAAGGCAAGAACATGCTCAGCATTTCTCAAGCTGAAAAAACTGAAGAAAAAATTCAAGCCTCAAGTAGCAAACTGAAGGATTCTACGGGGAAAATATTAAATGATGCAGGAAGCATCAAAGGAAGATGGAAGGAAGACACAGAGTCACTATACCAAAAAGAATTGGTTGACGTTCAAACATTTCAGGAGGTAACATATGATCAGGAACTGATGGTACCGAAGGAAGAAGTCCAAGCTGCACTGAAGGCATTAGCAAAAAACAAGGCTCCGGGAATTGATGGAATACCAACTGAGATGCTTCAACAAACGGATGCAGTGCTGAAGTGCTCACTTGTCTATGCCAAGAAATCTGGAAGACAGCTACCTGGCCAACTGACAGAAAGAGATCCATATTTATGCCTATTCCTAAGAAAGGTAATCAAACTAAACTTGCAAATTATTGAATAATATCATTAATATCACATGCAAGCAAAATTTTGCTGAAGATCATTCAAAAGTAGCTGCAGCAGTGTATCGACAGGGAACTTCCAAAAATTCAAGCTGGATTTAGAAGAGGACTTGGAACCAGGGATATCGTTGCTGATGTCAGATGGATCCTGGCTGAAAGCAGAGAATACCAGAAAGATGTTTACCTGTATTATGTTGACTATGCTAAGGCATTTGACTGTGTGGATCATAACAAATTATGGGTAACATTGCGGAGAATGGGAATTCCGGAACACTTAACTGTGCTCATGAGGAATCTGTATGTGGATCAACAGGCAGTTGTTTGAACAGAACAAGGAGATACTGCATGGTTTAAAGTCAGGAAAGATGTGCGTCAGAGCTGTATCCTTTCACCATACCTATTCAATCTGTACGCTGAGCAAACAATCTGAGAAGCTAGACTATATGAAGAAGAACGGGGCATCAGGATTGGAGGAAGACTCATTAACAACCTGCATTATGGAAATGACGTATTTCCTTGCTGAACGTGAAGAGGACTTGAAGCACTTACTGATGAAGATCAAAGACCACAGCCTTAAGTATGGATTACACCTCAATATAAAGAAAACAAAAATCCTCACAACTGGACCAATAAACAACATCATGATAAACGGAGAAAAGATTGAGGTTGTCAAGGATTTTATTTTACTTGGATCCATAATCAACACCCACAGAAGCAGCAGTCAAGAAATCAAAAGATGCACTGCATTGGGCAAATCTGCTGCAAAAGACCTCTTTAAAGTATTGAAAAGCAATGATGTCACCCTGAGGACTAAGGTGCACCTGACCCAAGCCATGGCATTTTCAATTGCCTCATGCGCATGTGAAAGCTGAACAATGAATAAGGAAGACCAAAGAAGAATTGACCCCTTTGAATTGTGGTGTTGGCGAAGAATATTTAATATACCATGGACTGCCAAAAGAATGAACAAATCTGTCTTGGAAGAAGTAAAACCAGAATGCTCCTTAGAAGCAAGGATGACGAGACTACGTCTCACATACTTTGGACATGTTATCAGGAAGGATCAGTTCCTGGAGAAGGACATCATGCTTGGTGAAGTAGAGGGTCACTGAAAAAGAGGAAGACCCTCAACGAGATGGATTGACATAGTGGCTGCAGCAATGGGCTCAAGAATAGCAACAACTGTGAGGATGGCGCAGGATCGGGCAGTGTTTTGTTCTGTTGTGCATAAGGTCACTATGAGTCGGAACCAACTTGACAGCACCTAACAACAACAACATAGGTATGTCTCACTGGTTCTGTTTTTCTAGAGAACCCTGACCAAGACAGTATAAATAATCACTTGACTAGGCCAGGGTTAGGTCCTGACTAACATCATGGTAGCCTACCCCCTGAACAGTCAAAACTGGTCCAAGAAGAACAAGTAACTCATGCCACATTTTTCAGTCCCATCCATGAGATTAACATGGACCAGAATGATCACTACCCTGAACTCTGTCTACTTGCTGAGAGCATAAAACTTGTCAGGAACCACATTTCTCCCTAATTGGAGAAAGCCATTCTGCAGAGATAAGGAATAAAGCTTGCATGCAGAGAAATGCACAGATAGGAGGTGGAGAATCTTGCCAATGTTCTTGGCCTGGTTTCCATTTCTGAGGGCCCTGTTCCTGCCCCTCCTACAACTTGGTAGGTAGAATCTTCCTTAGAATATCTGAATAACCTTTTTTTAAATTTAAGCTAACTCAAGTTTCTATCACTTGAAACCAAAAGACTACCTGGTCAGCATGAAGGGAAGACTGATAAAAGGAGAGAAAGGGAACTAAAAAAAAAAAAAAAAACTAAAGGAATGGGTTAAATGTTAAAAGTCCCAGATATCAAGAATTGAGAAATGTCATCTAAGAAGAGTGAAGGTGAATATAGATCTACATTCCTCAATCTCAGAAGCACCCAGCTAATGTACTCACTCAGCCTGATTCTGAGGAGTAAGAGGGAAAAGGCTTATTTCTTAGAAGCCAGGAAAAGTCTGAAGAAGCTACATTTGATGTAGAGTAGTAATCATAATAGTAGCTATACTGAACACCTACAATGTGCTAAACTTTGCACTAGGCACTTGCAGTACAGACATCTGTTTTTATTTTGGCCTGTCCAACATCTCATACCCCCTTTTCTAGCACTAGAACTGTCCCCCCACCCCTTTTGGACACCTCCTCTCCTCCTTTTCCCAGTCCATGAGTTTTGAGTTCAGTTCATGTCAAATAAAAAATTACAGTGGTTCGTTCAGGAATGGGAAAACTGGGTATGTGATATACGCTAAGCAGGATCTGTTTGGGAATTGCTGCTGAAAAAGCACCCTTTTTTTTTTTTGCTGGAATCCTTGCTAGTATGATAGAAGCCTAAAGCCTTGCCACTAGATAGGGACAGCCTGCCTAAGAAGGGGTCAACCCCGAGTAATGCAGAGCTGAAAGAGCGAGAGTCAGAGACAGACACGGTGTCATGATGACTTCATTTAGGCACCTAGATCCAGCCATGCTTGAAGCTACTATACCCCTACACATATCAGAATATCTGTCATTTGTAAATGAAAACTGCATTGGAGTGTGTTAAATATCTACTTCTCACAACAAAACCACTAAGGCTGGCATAGTGATCTCCCATCAACCATAGTTCTTGATACCTGCAGTTTAAAGATAATGTGATTTTTATGTGTGTTCTAAGACTTAAAATTCATTTAATATATGGCTATTCAGTTTAATAGGAGCCCTGGTGGTACAGTGGTTAAGAGCTCAGCTGCTAACAGAAGGTCAGCAGTTTGAATCTACCAGCCACTCCTTGGAAACCCTATGGGGCAGTTCTAGTCTGTCCTATAGAGTTGGTTTGAGTCGGAATTGACTCCAGGGCAACAGGTTTGGTTTTTCATGTTTTATTAAGTTTAATTATCTTAAACAAAAGTACAGGATAAGATTGTAACAAATCAAGGCCATTTTTCTTGCCTTTAGCTATATCCTACAAAGCATTCACCGAATATGCCGATATTTGTTTCTGTGATAGAATGAGCATGCATACCTGGTGTGAATGACTTTGTGAATGTGTAATCAATAGAAATGTCACGTTTTGATAGCAATTAAAGCAGCCATTAGCTTACTTTTGAAAGGAATCACTGGCTTATTTTTAAAAAATATTTAATTAGAAAAAAATAAAAACACCCTAGAAATAAAAGAATGAGCCACACTTTTATCAAGCACAGACAGTATCCATGAATTATTATAATTTATGGAAGCACTGGGATAAAAGATACTTGTAAAAACAGTGGGATAAACTATATTTCAGGTACTTACGATGACTCAACCTCTTGTTTAATTTCTTGCCATTCTCCATATGGGTTTGACTTTTTAACAGCTTTGGGTTTTTCTTCCTTTGGATGTGATGAATCCTTTTCTGGTAGACTTTTTTCTTTCTGTGATTCTGGTTTAGTTCCTTTATCACTACTTTTATTTTTTTCCTGCAGTGTAAAAGGCAAGAAATAACACATTTCAAGTAAAACTACCAGGACAACAAAATACCTTTAACATAGAGCTTTTAAGTGTTGTTCTAGATCTACTAGTAATTAAACATCAATCAAATTAATAGTTTAAATTTGTACATAACACAATAAATGTACATAAAAGAACTTTAATACTTGATGAGGTTTTTCACGATGTCTAAAATGCTATAATACACCACGGTCAAGGCTGCTTTCTTAAATAAAACATGATCCTATCATGAGATGTACAATTAAGGACAGTCCTTCTCTCTTCTTCTTTTCTGCTTTCTCTCCTTGCTTACATACCCAACAGTGACTTATCTATACTATCGTGCCCCTAGTGAATTTGATGCCATACCATTAGTCTCTTCTGTACCCATTAACTATTTAAAATGTTCCTTCAACCTATTCATTGTAACTGAAGTGTCTTTACCTTGAGGACACTTCCAGAGCCTCACTAGCCTATACAACTGATAACTTGATGTGAATTAGAACAAGACACCACACTGGGGTGAAAAGAGCCCCATGGTAGTCCCTGGTGAGGGCTAGTGTTTCTGTGGCACCGCTTTATCTGGCCCAGAGTCTCAGTTTAGCAAATGGACTATGTGCTGGATTTCAGCCTCTTTGCAAACTCCATAACCATGGGTAGCAGCCCTGGGACAGTTTCCTTTACAGTACTTTCAATGGATGTTAACTCATCCTCTCCTGCTATTGGTATCACAGGCCTAGGAAGCACCAACTACTTTCTCTTAGCAATCTTGACTGCTTCCAGACCCTGACTCTCTTTTTAGGTATAATTGGTCATAATACTTTATACTTTGCTCTTCATGCAATAAAAGCCTCCTCCTCTGAAGCTCGTATCACTTTCTGTATCATTCTCTTCCTTTCCTTCTTACATGATCTAACTCATATTCACTGATGACTCTGGCAACTCTAGCACCATTTTCTCTCCGTTCACATTCTTGCTGTCATCCTGGGGAGATTACAAGTTCCCTAGCCTCAGTTTTTTTGGAAACCCTGGTGGCGTACTAGTAAAGAGCTACGGCTGCTAACCAGAAGGTCGGCAGTTTGAATCCACCAGCTGCTCCTTGGAAGACCAATGGGGCAGTTCTACTCTGTCCTACAGGGTCACCATTAGTCAGAATCGACTCGACGGCACTGGGTTTGGTTTTTTTTTTAGTCTCAGTTTTATGAACCTCAACACTAACGACTTGGGCCTTTAATGTGTTTCAATCATCTACATATTATACAAGGTGTATTTCCTCATATACAGCATCTACTACATAGGTAGTATTCAATTTTTTAAATCCTTATACCTGCCCCTCTTCTAACTGAAACTCTGTCATCACTCAGAAACACCCCACCTGTGAAATCTTAAACTCAAAAAGCCTACCATCTCACCATAGTAGTTCTCATCCTTCAGCTTTCTGGCTCCCTTGCTTCTACCATCCCTCCTCTCCAACCCCATCAGCATTTCTAATACCTTAACTTCTTGTATTTTGAGTTTGTTGCTAGACTTCACATTCTTAATAGGGGCCTAAACCCACTGGGAATAATTTTAACATTCTTTTGCTACCACCATAAATATCTCTGTCCCTCCATAAATATCTCTGTCCCTCTGTCTTTCTATTGCACAGGACCTAACAGCCCAACATAGATCTATCTAATAGTTTGCCGTTTTGCTTTTAACTTTGTCAAGTGTTATAATGAGGGGAAAAAAAACCCACACAACTGACGAGACTTCAAAATTTACGATATCCAATTTCAGCAGAGACTTTAACACTTAGCAGTACATCTCCAGTTAGTTCTACTCCCTTTAGTGGTTATTTAAGACAAATACTGGGTATGTAGGGCTGATTAAATAATGGGATATTCCTACTGTGGAATACTATGCAGCATTATTATTTAAAAAAAAAAATTTTTTTTTTAATTGTACTTTAGGTGAAAGTTTACAGAACAAATAGTTTCTCATTAAACAGTCAGTACACATATTGTTTTATGACACTGGTTAAAAACCCCATGACATGTCAACACTCTCCCTTCTCGACCGTTTTTTTTTTTTTGGTGAAAATATACATAGCCAAAGATACACCATTTCAAAAACGTCTACATGTACAATTCAGTGACATCGATTACGTTCTTCCAGTTGTGCTGCTATTCTCACTTTAGATGGTTTACAGAACAAAATAGTTTCTCATTAAACAGTTAGTACATGTATTGCCCTATGACAATGGTTAACAACCCTGTTACATGTCAACACTGTCCTGACTCAACCTTGGGTTCCCTACCACTGGCTTTCCTGTCCCCTTCTGCCTTCTAGTCCTTATCCCTGGACTGCTGTGCCTCATTAGTCCCGTTTTGTTTTATGGGGAGGTCCAAGCCCCGGCTGAATGGTGAATAGCCATTATTTTGGTAGGTGAAAATTTACATGTTTAAAAATGACTGATAAAGTTGCAAAGCAGTAGTGAAACCCTATTATAGAATGGTTTCATATTCTGCTTAAAAAACATATACATGTGTCAGAATAGAAAAAATGATGGACCAATAAATACCAAAGTATTATAGTGATTTTTCTGGGGGGTGGCAGGATTATAGTTTGTCTTTGTTTGTCTATATACTGTAATATGTTGTTTTATACAATGGACACGTTAATTCTGATATAAAACAAATTAATAATTTCTGTCCCAGGTAGATGCTGGGTTACCCAAATTTGACTATAAACACTGTGAGGTGGTCACCACCAGGGCTCTGCTGCTCCTCCTCTACAAACTGGATACATCCCTCACCCTAAGTTCCACCAACATTTATGAGGTGGGTAGGTAAATTCCAGGCAATCACAAGATCCTAGGTGTGGCCTGTGAGTACTCTCTCCCCAGCAAACTTGATTTTCTTTCCCCTCTGTCAGGTCAGCAATCTCAACCATGGATCACTGCTACACTCTGTCTTCTCTGCTTTGGGTGCTCCCGAGTGTGTTCCTGGAAGAGGTCACAAATGTATGAGGACTAGTAATACTGTAAAAATGTGTTTGCCTGCCACGGCTGGGCACTCAGCATCACCTGTCAATTCTGCCTCTTGGTTCATTCCCTCTCACCCCAGCTTAATGACTATTTCAAACTGTTAATACTGTCAAGCCCCCAAAGCTCCTCACTCTTAGCAGACAATCTTGCTTCCTATGAATGAGAAAACAGGCTAAAAGGCACAACTATCTCAATTTCCTTCCAGATACCTACTCATTTATAGTCATACTTATCCTTACCTTCTTATAGAAAATGAGATTATTCCTTGTTCTAGACTAACCCAGTCATCTGCCCTTGTTGGTATGCTCTTTTTACCTCCTCTGATATCTTACTTTATTAGTCATATCCTCTCGTCCTTATTACCTTTAACCAGCTTCATCTCTATTACTTCCTATCCTTTAATCTACAGGTGTGCTCAAGTCTTTCTCAATGAAAACACCACCACCACCACTAAGCTCTGATGATTAAAGACTATCTAGCCATGATTCTGTCATCTAATTTCTAGTACTCATTTCATTCATATCCAAACCACTTTTCCACTCCCTGTAATATGAGTTCTGCCATTCAAAATTCTGGTGACATTGCTAGAAGAGCAGCAGGTACTTCCTAACTGCCAAATTCAATGGACATTTTTCTTTCTTCCCCCCAGACCTCCAAACCACAAAACCGAACTCGTTGCCGTCAAGTTCATTTTGACTCATAGCAACCCGTAGGGTTTCCCAGGAGTGGCTGCTGAGTTGGAACTGCCGATCTTTTTGGTTAGCAGCCGAACTCTTTATCACTGCGTCACCAGGGCTCCCCCAAGACCTCTCTCTGTAATCAATCCTTGATGTTCTCTATTGTCTTGGCTTGGCTTCTGGGATAGTAAATTATGCTTCTCATACATACTTTCCTAACCACTCTTCTTCTTTCTACCTTGTTAGTCCTCTTTCTTGGCATGCCACTTAATTAAATGTTTAATGTTCCTCAATTATCTCACCCATTCTATGATTTAAATTACTGCCAGTGTTCTGATGACACTCAAACTAATATTTCTAGCCTAAACATTCAGATTTTCCTGTTCAGATAATGCTTTGAATGCTACACAGGCATCTCAAACTCAGAGGTTTAAAAATCAACTTACTGTCTTGCTCCCAAATAGATATAGTAAATAGTATAACCAAAATACACACCTTGGCTTTATTTCTGTCATCTACCAGAAGACAGAAGAAAGTTTGTAGAGCTTTTTTTATAAATTTATAAACTTTTATGAAGAATAAAATTAAGAACCTACCTTGAACTTTATTGTTAGCTTTTGTGTTTTTGTAGAGGCATCTCCTTCTACTTTCTGTTCATCAGAATCATTACGTGCATCTGTTGATTTGGACTCTTCTAGGCTGCCAACTGCCTTTTCATTGATCTTACTGGAAAGCAGACTGCCAGGGTGTGGAATAAAATCATCAGGTTTCTCCCATTTGGATTCTGTTCAACGCATTTTAAGTCACGTTATTTAGCTGCCAACTTTATTCAGAATTCCCAATATAACACATCCCATCACTTACATTATTAAATGATGGTATTGCATCTGTTCCACATTACCAATTGATCGAGATGATAATAAATAAGAGTCCTCAAAGTTCTTGCTCTTGTATCATTTAGAAACTGATTTCAAACAACTTGGATTTACTAGATGTATAAACTACAGCCCAAAGGAAAGACAGTCTAAGAACTGGGTGATACTTTTTAAGGACTCTCACAATTTAATTAACACCAATTTCAGGACACATATTTCATAATCAGCACACTTTAGATGTCCTGGGAGTTATCACGAAGCAGTGAAATCATATTGTGAAGACCTGAATTAATATGATCTGTCATTTTTATAGTGGGAAAAAAATCTAAATGAATTGAATTCTACTGCCATCCAGTGGTTTACTGAACTGTGAATAAAATGATAGCATTTGTAATTGTCTTATAGTATAATAAAAGGGAGAGTGATTATAGAATTTATTGTCCAACTGGGATACTTTTAAAAGTGAAGGAAACTGCTGTTAATAATTATACTAGCCATAGGCATAAAGTGCAACTGTTCTAGACAAATCAGTAGGTATGGTCCCTTATGGAATATAGGGTACTTTCCAGCAGCAATGAAAAACATTACTTTTCTTTGTATTTCACACAAGTAACCAAAGACTTTTCAGGAAATAAATAATTTGCTTAGCACCTACTATGTTCCGGGTACTGTTTGAGGTACAATCCCACAAAACACATATAATCATCTCTATTTTACCTTATCAACAACTATAGGCTCAGTTACTTGTTAATAACACAAAGCTGGTAAGGGAAGGAGTGATAAGTTGAGCTCAGCTGTCTGCCTATAAAGCTATATTATATCATTGTATTATTTTACCTCTATAAAAATTCAGAACTTCAATTTTAGTGAGATAGAAACATATCTATCATTGGGCAGGCTAGGTATCTACTTGGGGGTTGAAAGGGCCTTTTGCTCCTGAAAGATTTAATGCTAGGTAGAGGTCTGCATGATGAAGTAAAGAACTGAAGATTTCAAAAGGAGGCTTGAGAAGACAAAGTATTATAATGAAATGTGCAAAGACCTGAAGTTAGAAAATCAAAAGGTAAGAACACGCTAGGTATTTTTCAAGCCAAAAGAACTGAAAAAAAAAAAAAATTCAAGCCTTGATTTGCAATAATTAAGGATTCTATGGGTAAATTATTGAATGATGCAGGAAGCATCAAAAGAAGATAGAAGGAATACACAGAGTCACTCTACCAAAAAGAACTGGTCAACTTTCAACCATTTCAGGAGGTAGCCTATGATCAAGAACTGATGGTACTGAAGGAAGAAGTCTAAGCTGTACTGAAGGCACTGGTGAAAAACAAGGCTCCAGGAATTGACGGAATACCAATCGGGATGTTTCAACACACAGATGCAACATTAGGAGTGCTCACTCATCCATGCCAAGAAATTTGGAAGACAGCTACCTGGCCAACCAACCAAAAGAGATCCATATTTATACCCATTCCAAAGAAAGGTGATCCAACAGAATGCGGAAATTATAGAATATCAACATATAATATCACATGCAAGTAAAATTTCGCTGAAGATAATTCAAAAGTGGCTGCAGCAGTACATCGACAGCGAGCTGCCAGAAATTTAAGCTGGATTCAGAAGAGGACATGGAATGAGGGGTATCACTGCTGATGTCAGGCGGATCTTGGCTGAAAGCTGGGAATACCAGAAACATGTTTACCTGTGTTTTACTGACTATGCAAAGACATTTGACTTTGTGGATCGTAACAAATTATGCATAACATTGTGAAGAATGTGAATTCTAGAACACTTAATTGTGCTCATGTGGAATGTGTACACAGATTAAGAGGCAGTCGTTCTAACAGAACAGAACAAGGGGTACTTCGTGGTTTAAGATTAGGAAAGGTGTGCGTCAGGGCTGTATTCTTTCACCACACTTATTCGATCTCTAAGCTGAGCAATAATCCGAGAATCTGGACTATATGAAGAAGAATGCAGCATCAGGGTTGGAGGAAGATTCATTAACAACCTGCAATATGCAGATGATACAACATTGCTTGCTGAAAGTCAAGAGGACTTGAAGCACTTACTGATGAAGATCAAACACTACAGCCTTCAGTATGGATTACACCTCAGCATAAAGAAGACAAAAATCCTCACAACCAGACCAATAAACAACATCATGATAACCAGAGAAAAAGACAGAAGTTTTCAAAAATTTCATTTTACCTCGATCCACAATCAACACCCATAGAAGAAGCAGTCAAGAAATCAAAAGATGCACTGCATTGGGCAAATCTGCTGCGAAAGACCTCTTTAAAGTGTTCAAAAGCAAAGATGTCACCTTGAGGACTAAACTGCGCCTGACCCAAGCCATGGTATTTTCAATCGCCTCATATGCATGTGAAAGCTGGACAAATGAATAAAGACTGAAGAAGGACTGACACCTTTGAATTATGGTGTTGGTGAATACTGAATATACTGCGGACTGGCAGAAGAACGAACAAATCTGTCTTGGAAGTACAGCCAGAATGCTCCACAGAAGTGAGGATGACGAGACTTTGTATCATATACTTTGGATGTTATGAGGAAAGATCAGTCCCTAGAGAAGGACATCGTGCTTGGTAAAGTAGGTCAATGGAAAAGAGGATACCCTCAACGAGACGGCTGCAACAAGGGCTCAAACAGCAACGATTGTGAGGATGGTGAAGGAGCAGGCAGTGTTTCATTGCTGTACATAGGTTGCTATGAGTTGGAACCCATTCAGTGGCACCTAACAACAACAACAACAACAGAGGGCTGCAGATACTAGGAATTAAGAAACAAAGGCTCCCCCAACGTTATACCAACACTACAGCTATTTTGGTAAATTTAACCGCTGGAGAATGAGCAAGCCTGACAAGGCTGCCACCACTATAAAGCTGGAGACAGATGGTAAAGGGACACAAGGTAGACAAAACCCAAGGACTTCCAACACAGGTGAATATTAAATGAGACAAGGTGTATGTATCCTCTTCCTTTTTCTCTTCTGAGAGGACTTGTGCAGTTTAGCCTGTAGTTTCATCAGTGTTCTTTTGGGCTAGTTCCATTTATTTCCCTGTGTCATTTAGAGTTCTCTTCTGATGCCCTATGTTTTCCCCTGTGCAGATAGTTAGCATTCTATAATCACTGTTTCCTGCAAATTGATATTTGTTTGCTCCCAAAAGCCAATGAAATTTAAAATTAGGGGGGGAGGGGAACTATAGTAGAAACCAAATATAATTACTTGAAGACCATTTTATGAAATTAGATAAAATCTTAATTTGAAAATTTTATGTAATACCTAGCATTATGCATGTTTTATAAATATTTACATAACTGGAACATTATTAGATTAGGAAAAGTGAAAAATTTGACAACTTCAGCCACTGCGAAAATAGCTTCAGTTCATTTGTTTTTTTTAAGAAAGGCAAGGCAAGTTGAACTAGGTAGTCTCTAAGTACCTTCTAGAGTAATGACTGATTTCTAAAACAACAGTAAGAAGCTTCAGTAATGGCAGAGAAGGTTAAAATGATTCTTTTTAAAACCTATGAACCTAAGTTTCAACTGAGAATACCACCACTGTGTGTGCACAGTATATTATAAATAAAAATCTTTTTTCTTTTCCATTGCAGTTTAAAAAACTTTTTATTGTGGCAAAATATATATAACAGATATATAAATTAAAAAAAAATTGCTATCTTAACCGTTTTTTAAAAAATAATTTATTTTTGTTTTTGTTGAGAATATATAACAGCAGAACATACACGGATTCAACAATGTCTACGTGAATAGCTGACGCTGATTACATTCTTTGAGTTGTGCAACTCTTCTTACACGCATTTTCCGAGTTGTTCCTCCCACATTAACTTAAACTCACTGCCCCCTAAATTTCCTATCTAATCTTTCGAATTGCTATTGTCAATTTGATCCCATACAGACAGATCTTAAAAGAGCACAATGCTCAAGGCAGACATTCATTCTTTCCTAGTTAAGCTGAACTATTGTCTAGTTTAAGGAAGACTACAGGGGAAATTTTTGGTTTAAGGCATCTTAACCATTTTTTAATGTATAACGCAGTGACATTACATTCACCATGTTGTGCTTCCGTTAATGTTTTTAATTTGCAAAAATACACGCTTGCTATAGAAATAGGTTTATCACTATATTAAAATTACCAAGTTCTGATGCTTCTTAAACAAATACATTAAAACAATTCACTCATCAGCAGGCTAACAAGCAGTTTCACGTACAATTTTAGATAGCTAATATAATCAAAGAAGAGCCCTGGTGACACAGTGGTTAAGCGCTTGGCTGCTAACTGAAAGGTTGGCGGTTTGAACCTACCAGCCACTTTGCTGGAGAAAAGATGCAGCTGTCTACTTCCGAAAAGATTTACAGCCTTGGAAATCCTATGGGGCAGTTCTACCCTGTCCAGTAGGGTTGCTATGAGTCGGAATCAACTTGATGGCAATGAGTTCGGTTTTGGTTTTTAATGTAATCAAAGGTAATACTTACCTCCTGTTTCTGTATTATAATAATACATATAACCATCTTCACTTACACCTTCTACCCAAACAGGCTTCACTGTCTAAAAGGACAAATAAAACAGCATAAACTGAAGATAAAGATGGTACAGTAGTCTCGCCTTAATACACAGGGGATACGTTCCAAGACCCCCCCGCCACCAGGGATGCCTGAAACCGCGGTCAGTACCAAATGCTATATATATTACTCTATGTCCTATGCATATATACCTAGGATAAAGTTTAATTTATAAATTAGGCACAATAAGAGATTAACAATAACAAATAATAATAAAATAGAACAACTGTAACAATTTCGTGTAACAAAAGTTATATGAATGTGGTTCTGCCCAGGACAGTGCGAGATTTCGTCACTTTACTCATTTAACATTTTCGGACTAAGGCTGACCATGAATAACTGAAGCCACAGAAAGAGAAACCGCAAATAAAGGGGGATGACTGTATTTACATATTTAATAACTAAGGCAGAGTCAGCCACCCTCTCCTTTCCCCTTGATACCTGGGGATTAAGGGTGGTAGTACTGATCATGGCCAGAAAGCTTGGTTTGTGTTAATCATGAGCCAACTTTGAGGGAGAGAATGTATCATCTCTGAAACCACAAACAATTCTTTGCAGATGGACAGGGATACACGGATGGCAATGATTTGTAAACCAACCAGTAATATTTGCCCTGCATGGAGTTTTTGCGTAAATGCCACTGTTTCACTTCCACTTAGCCTGCCAACAGAAGTATTACAGAAAGAAAGGAACAAAATGGGGAAGGGGGAGTTCCCTTATTTACAAATAAATCTGCTTCATTAAACTCTACAAAATCCCAATCATTTTTAAAAACAAAGCGTAGACACTATTAATGTGCTTCAGTTACCTTTTTTAAGTTTCCTTGAAATCCTTCAGGTTTCTCCCATTGAGATGCTTAAAGTAAAATACATTGCATTTATAAAATCTTTTTGCTTAAAATCTAAAACCACTTTCCAAAAAATTAAATTTGTTAAAAATTTACAACATATTCAATGTTTACAAAGCACTATGGGTATATAGTTTAAAACATAATTGAAAAATAAAAAGAAACACAACCAGTAGCATTGTGCAGAAAAATATATGCGAGTGATACATAATCAAGAAGAAAGGACAGAATGAAGGATTAGAGTATTAGAAGTTATTATAACTTCCACGGGAATTATTAGAGCCAGGTAGGGCTTCTCTTAAAAGACTTCATGGAATTCAAGATTGATGGATTTTGAAGGAAGGGGATAATTTTTTAACATTCTAGAGCAGGGGAGAGTGAGAGATGGAATCAATAATGACTCAGAAGAGGAACGGGATGAAGTATGTAGGAATTAAACAAATATCACCAAGAGTAATACTACATAAAATTAAGATGGTGAACAAAGGAAGCAAGATACAGGCACTAAAAGGCAGAAAAAAATCATTAACAGTCTCTAAACAAACTTGAGAATGATTTATAATCTCTAGCATACAATTATTCATGATATCTTCACTGCTGAACTATAACAAGCACTTTATTTAAGGGTCAGTGTAAGCAAACTCTGGGAGATTACTACTATTTCTATTTAGTCCAAAATCGACTGTGATTCTAAAGATCATAATAATTACAATAATATTTGTAGCCCAAGGTTTTCTTCATGATTAATTCTGATGTCATTTTCTACCTTCCTGACCATTCTAATCTTTTTTGCTGGTTTTTCTTCTACCCATACCTTTCTTTTACATAGTGTTCCCCCTTTACTTCTTGCTCTGTTCTCTCCCTGTGATCTCAGCTACGCCATCTACCAAAAGGTTAACATGTCATTTTTTGCTGATCTACACCTCCAACTCAATTTATCTTTCTCCAGGCTCTAATCAATTAGCTACTGAAAACTGCCACGTGTATGTTCTATAGGTACTTCAAACTCAACATATCAAAAACTGAATTCATTATTGTCCCCTTAAACTTATTACTTGTTCCTGTATTTCATATCTCAGTAAACAGCACCATCATCCTCCTAGCCTGCCATGATATGGCCCCAATCTACCTTTCCAGCCTTTCTTCTGCCATGACATCTTCTAAGAACCTTATGCTTCACCTCCACCAGATGACTCTCTACTTCCCAAACATGAACTTTCAAACCTTTTTTTTGGTTCACATTGTTTCCACTGCCTAAAATGTTATACCCTATTAATCTACTGCAATCTTAGTCAATCAAAATACCGATGGAGTGTCTGCATTGTGCCAGACACTGTGTTATGTACTAGGAATATAAAAAGTGAGTAAAATGACATAATTCTTGGTGTCCTCATCTTAGTTTATGTATCAGGTAGTTTCTGTGATAACTTCTCAGATTCACCAAATCACAATTAATTTCTCATTCTTTTAAGTTCCTATGTAATCGTAATTATACCTCTATTATGGCACTGTAAAATTTTTTCTTGTACCAGATTTAGTTTATTATTTCTGTCATAAAATTTTATGTTTCTGGAAAACAAGATGCTACATAAATATAGAATAAATGCATTATTTATCTCAGAATTACTATGGAGTAAAAACCCCAAATTCATTTAGTTTTGAAGGAAAACAAAAAGATGTTTTTGATATTCTTACTGAAAAATCCTACTGTGTCTTTGTTAGAACTGATATCCAAAACATTAACGGGAGAGATGTATTCTACAAGGAAGATAACTACACGCACAAAAAAATCAGTGTCTGGCTCCCAAAAGGCTTTTGGACAGAAAATCCCTCCACATAGTATTTTATTTCAAGAACCCTAAAATGTGTAAAGATGGATCTGAAATGCTTTATTTCCATGTAAGCCCATAGTTTATACTCATAGAATGTTTTATTGAGAAAACATAAAGCTGTACCTTACTTGGAAGGAACTCATTAATAAGGCTTTGTAAAAGTATGACACTGACTAACTATGAAAACGCCACCTTTTAAAAACTCTTCTTAAAGGGCACATAATTCTCATCTTTGATGTGAAAATGTAGTTATAGTCTTTTACTGTTTAAAATGTTCAAACATTAAATAAAAACTCTAGCACACAATAAGCTGTCAGTTACTGTTCTCCATTAGTTCTATGCCCAAATGACTTACCTCCTGTGATAAGATCATAATAGTAATGATAACCCTCAGAGGTTATGCCTTCAACCCATCTGCCCTTTGAAGGATCTTTTTTCTTTTTCTTCTTTTCTTTCTGCTGATTTGAGGCAGAGGTGGGTGGGATGGTACTGGCTACTGGTGATATACTTGGTTCTGAAATGTCTAGAGGAAAGATGAGGGAAGGGTACTAAAGTAGCCATAGTAACTTTTTTCCCCCGGCACAAAACATTAATAATACTATTCTAACCAAAGACCTGACAAAATTATTTTGGGAACTTGACATGAATATTAATAGTGTTTGTCTGAAAAAATAAACTTGCAAGAATGTCCAAGAAAATTGTAAAAAATAAAGTGACAAGGGAAAACCTAGTCTTATCAAGTATTAAAACTTATTCTAAAGCTATGCTACATAAAGCAATGTAGAACTGATGCAGGAATACACAAACATATCCTTGAAACAAAATAGCTCAAAAAGAGACCCAACAGCAGATTCCTGGCGTTTCTTACTACTGGGAACAAGACAGATCACTTAATAAGTGGTATTGGAATATGTGGTTAATTAGTTGGAAAAAAGAAAAGCCATTCCCTTACCTCCCCACCTTCCCTTTTTTACATTAATATAAATATCAGATGAAAGATATTTACAAAAAGAACACAAAATAATGTTAAATTTGACTACCAAAAAAACCTGACTGCCTGCAGACTGCCACATCTTTCTCCCGTGGAGCGGCTGGTGTGTTCGAACCGCTGACCTTTTGGTTAGTAGCTGACCCCTTTAAACAAAGCCACAAACACAAGAAAGACAAAAGACTTACTAGGAAAAAAAATATTTACAACGAGTATGACAGAGGGTTAATGTTCCTAACAAAGAACCCTTAACATTGTAACAAAAATGGGCAAAAAAGGAATTTAGAGAATTAACGGTTACTTTCACTAATAATCAAAGGAATACAGTGTGTGTGTATGTATTTGCATCAGATCAGCAAGTACTGAAAAGAATGACCCAATCCAGTGTCCAGTGTTAGTCAGTCTGATCCATCAGGTATTTACCTGGGTGTGAAAAAATGGGTAGTTTTTATGGCTTTATTTTTTTCCAAATGAATGGCCAGTTATTCCAACACCATTTGATAAATTTACTTTGTATCTAGTAAAAGTGTAAATCAGCCCATTTCTGCAGACAGCTTGGTATTAGGTATCAATATATAAAGTGTGTTTACACTTTGATTCTACAATCCCACGTCTAGAAGTTGAACCTACAAAGATAAATAAATGTGAAAAAAAGCATGCATCAGGATGCTCACTGCAGCCTTTTTGTTAACAGTGGAAAAACTCTAAGCAAACTAATATTAATCAGTAAGAGATCAGTTAAATAAGTTTTGGTACATAGATACAATAATAATAGCTATCCTTTATTAAACATTTGTTATAGGTAGTCACTGTAAGTGTTTTACACCATTATCTAACTTAATTTTAGCAAAGACACAGGGTCACAAAGCTAGGAAGAGGCAATTCTGCTGACTCCAAAGCCTGTGTCTTATCCACTCTGTAGCCACTACAAGTGATGTATATTCTTAATTATTTTTTTTTAAATATACTTGATATATCATTAAAGGGGAAAAGAAAACCTCCAAACAGATCATAGAACAGATGTATAATTTTGTTTAAAAATTCTAGACATGTCTGAAAAAAATCTTGACAGCAGTTGGTGAGTTTTTAAACATTTTCCTTTGTATTGCACTGCTGTACTTTTAAAAGAATTATATATCCTGTTAATGAAAACAAACGTATGAGATTTGATTGTACAAAGGACAACATATTAGTCTCCCAATCCGCCTAGTGGTTAAGAGATGAATTTTCAATTTTACTTCTCTTGAATTTTCCTGAACACCTATACCCATTTTCCCCTGAAAATTGACATATGGCTTTAATCTCATAGAACCAATCAATAACCCTGCCCCCGTTTTTTAAAATTTCTTTTAATTTTTATTGTTGTACTTTAAGTGAAAGTTTACATCTCAAGTTAGTCTCTCATACAAAAATTTATATACTTATGTGACCCTAAGTGCTCTCCCCATACTGTGACAGCACACTCCTCCTTTCCACCTGATTTCCCATGTGCATTCAAGAAGCTCCTGACCTTCTCTGCCTTCTCATCTCACCTCCGGACAGGAGTTGCCTGTTTAGTCTCATATATCTACTTGAGCTAAGAGGCACACTCTTCACGAGTATCACTTTATGTCCCACACTCCAGTACAATCTTTGTCTGAAGAGTTGGCCTTGGAAATTGTTTTAGTTCTGGGCTGACAGACAGTCCGGGGGCCATGCTTTCCGAGGGGTTCCTCCTGTCTCATTCAGACTATTAAGTCTGGGCTTTTCACTAGAATTTGAGTTCTGCACCCCATCTTTCTCCTGCTCCATCAGGGACTCTCTGTTGTGTTCCGTCAGGGCGGTCATTGGTGGTAGCTGGGTACTACGTAGTCCTTCTGGTCTCAGGCTGATGAAGTCTCTGGTTTATCTGGCCCTTTCTGTCTCTTGGGCTAATACTTTGCTTGTGTCTTTGGTGTTCTTCATTCTCCTTTACTCCAGGTGGTTGGGACCAATTGATGCATCTTAGATGGCTGCTTGTAAGCTTTTAAGACCCCAGATACCACTCACCAAAGTAGGATGCAGAACATTTTATTAATATGCCGATTGACCTAGATATCCCCTGAAAGCATGGTCCTCAGACCCCTGCCCCTGCAATTCTGTCCCTCGAAGTGTTTGGTTGTACTCAGGAAACTTCTTAGCTTTGGCTTAGTCCAGTTGTGCTGACTTCCCCGGTAGTGTGTGCTGTCCTTCCCTTCACCTAAGATAATTCTTGTCTACTATCTAGTGAATAACCCTCTCCTTCCCTCCCCACCCTCGTAACCTTTTGTTTAGTTCTTATAATAGCAGTCTTATACAATATTTGTCCTTTTGTGACTGACTAAATTCACTCAGCGTAATGCCTTCCAGATTCCTCCATATTACAAGATGTTTCACGGATTCATTGTTGTTCTTATTGTCATGTAGTATTCCTTTGTGTGACTATACCATAATCTGTTTATCCATTCGTCCATTGATAGGCACCTAGGTTGTTTCCATCTTTTTGCTATCGTGAACAGTGCTGCAATGAACACGGGTGTGCCTGCATCTATTCATGTGATGGCTCTTATTTCTCTAGGATATATTCCAAGAAGCGGGATTGCTGGATCATATGGTACTTCTACTTCTAACTTTTTAAGGAAGTGCCAAATCGATTTCCAAAGTGGTTCTACCATTTTACATTCCCACCAACAGTGTATAAGTGTTCCAGTCTCTCCACAACCTCTCCAGCATTTATTCTGTTTTTTGGATTAATGCTAGCCTTGTTGGGGTGAGATGGTATCTCATTGCAGTTTTGATTTGCATTTCTCTAATGGCTAATGATAGTGAGCATTTCCTCATGTGTCTGTTAGCCGCCTGAATGTCTTCTTTGGCGAAGTGCCTGTTCATATCCTTTGCCCATTTTTTAATTGAGTTGTTTGTCTTTTTGTTGTTGAGGTTTTGCAGTATCTTGTAGATTTTAGATTAGACGTGGATCGGATCTGTTGTAGCCCAAAATTTTTTCCCAGTCTGTAGGTTGTCTTTTGACTCTTTTGGTGAAGTCTTTTGAGGAGCGTAAGTGTTTGATTTTAGGAGCTCCCATTTATCTGGTCTCTCTTCTGGTGCTTGTGCACTGTTACTTATGGTTCGTACTGTGTTTATGCCATGTATTAAGGCTCCCAGCATTGTCCCTATTTTTTCTTCCATGATCTTTATCATTTTCCATTTTATATTTAGGTCTTCAATCCATTTTGAGTTAGTTTTTGTGCTTAGTGTGAGGTATGGGTCTTGTTTCAGTTTTCTGCAGATGGATATCCAGTTATATTAGCACCATTTGTTAAAGAGACTGTCTTTTCCCCAATCAACGGACTTCGGGTCTTCGTCAAATATCAGCTGCTCACAGGTGGATGAATTTATGTCTGGATTCTCAATTCTTTTCCATTGGTCTATGTATCTGTTGTTGTACCAGTACCAGGCTGTTTTGACTGCCGTGGCGGTATAATAGGTTCTAAAATCAGGTAGTGTGAGGCCTCCTACTTTGTTCTTCTTGAGTAATGCTTTATTTCTTCGGGGCCTCTTCCCTTTCCAAATGAAGCTGGTGATTTGCTTCTCCATCTCATTAAAAAATGCCATTGGAATTTGGATTGGGATTGCATTGTATCTGTAGATCGCTTTGGGTAGAACCGATATTTTCACAACGTTGTCTTCCTATCCATGAGCAAGGTATGCTTTTCCACTTACGCAGGCCTGTTTTGGTTTCTTGCAGCAGTGTCTTGAAGTTTTCATCGTACAGGTCTTTTACATCTCTGGTTAAGAGTCATGCCTAAGTATTTTATCTTCTTGTGGGCTATTGTAAATGATATTGATTTGGTGATTTCCTCTTCGAAGTTCTCTTTGTTGGGGAAAAGGAATCCAACCGATTTTTGTAAGTTTATCCCGTATCCTGATATTTTGCTGAAATCTTCTATTAGTTCCAGTAGTTTTCTTTTGGATTCTTTGGGGTTTTCTGTGTATAAGATCATATCATCTGCAAACAGAGATACTTCTACTTCTTCCCTACCAATCTGTATGCTCTTTGTTTCTTTTTCTAGCCTAACTGTTCTAGCTAGGACCTCTAGCACCATGTTGGGTAAGAGTTGTGATAAAGGGCATCCTTGTCTGGTTCCCATTCTCAAGGGGAATGCTTTCAAACTATCACCATTTAGGATGATGCTGGCTGTTGGCTTTGTGTAAATGCCCTTAATTATGCTGAGGAATTTCCCTTCCATTCCTATTTTTTGAGAGTTTTTATCATGAATGGGTGTTGGACTTTGTCAAATGCCTTTTATGCATCGATTAGTGAGATCACGTGGTTCTTGTCTTTTGTTTTGTTAATGTGATGGATTATATTTATTGTTTCTCTAATACTGAACCATCCCTGCATACCTGGTATAAATCCCACTTGATCATGGTGAATTATTTTTTGATATGTTGCTGAATTCTATTGGCTAGAATTCTGTTGAGGATTTTTCTGTCAATGTTCATGAGGGATATTGGTCTGTAATTTTCTTTTTTTGTGGTGTCTTTACCTGGTTTTGGTTACCAGGGTTATGCTGGCTTCATAGAATGAGTTTGGGAATATTCCATCCTTTCCTATACTCTGAAATACCATTAGAAGTAGTGGTGTTAACTCTTCTCTGAAAGTTTGGTAGAATTCTCTATTGAAACCATCCAGGCCAGGGCTTTTTTTTGTTGAAAGTTTTTAAATTACCTTTTCAATCTCTTCATTTGTTATATCCACTGCCCGTTTTTAAGCTACCAATGTTCTTATCTGAAGAAGGCAATACCAATTAACTTATATGGCATTCTGCTTAAACGCTTGAATGAAAGCTGTTTTTATTAGCAAGTAAAGATATTATTCCATGTTGACTAACCAAACCATTATGCAAGATTAATAACTGAGATCTACTATATGGGTGGTTTAAGGACAGTGGATGTGTCATGGAAAAAATACTCATAGAAGACCTCCAACGCAAAGCCAAACTAAATGCAATGACAAGACAAACCCATTCTAGCTAAATAATGCCTCTTATCTGGAACTGAGTTATCCTGGAATCCTCAAATTATCTATCTTCTAGTAGGTAAGTCACTTAATTTGTCCACAAAGAGCTAATTCACTATAATTTAACCATATACAAAACATGATTCACAGCTTTCACCATACAGCTAAAGCAAACTGTAATTATAATGTAAGACCTATTTTTTAATGAATAGCTTCTTTTAGCCAAATAATTATTATACCTAAAAAACAACTCAGTGTCTCTGAAATAAATCACTGATTTAGGACAGAGCTAGGATTAGGTAACCACAAGGTAATATGTTTGCTGTGAATGGAGAAGGAGTTAAAAGATGAAGTGTTAAAAGTGCATGACTTTAAAAGTCCCACAGTCTAAATTTGGCTATGATGCATAGTAAAAGCACTGAAAGTAGACCCTGAGTGTGTAACCTCTTTACGGAAACAATAAAAGCTTGCTTAACATGACCTCTGATGTTACTTTTAAAACACGTTGGCTGCTTTTTTACCTGACTCTAAGCCAAGCCTTTTCAAATCCTCTTGGTATGCTTTCAGGGCAGCTGCCTCCATTGCAGCAAACTCCTTTGATGCCTTTTCTTCTTCTTTTGCTTTGTCCAGGCTTTTCTGTTTAATCTTTGTAAGACACATACAAAAGTGAAAATGAGATAAAGGACTGACATCTACTTAGAAAAACTGCAAAGAATTAATCTAAATTACCTCACTGATTCTTTTTGCCACATTTTCTATATGAGTCTTTCCTCTTTCATGAAATTCAATACTCTTGAAAAAAGAGAAAACACAAAGGAAAATGACATAAACATTATAATGTTCACAGTAAAGTAACTGAGTATACATGAGAATTAAAACTGAAACATTGGCAGAAAAGACAAAAACAAAATAATTTTACTGCAAATTGGCTCTTTTTATCAAATGATGCAAGGGAACTGAACCCCATTACTCATTATTACTCTCTGACGAAGGTTTCCTTTGGTTTTAATGGAGAAAAATACAAAGTACCCTTGACGACTAACCCAGTAAATATGATTGTAAAGAGGACTCAAATAAGACATGAAGCCAAAAGAGGAGTGGGGAAAAAAAAAACTTAGCTTCAAGAAATCTCTCTCAATATCAAATGTCAAAACCATTAAGAGAATTTTGTTACATTAGGTAAGACACATTGAGAACAATGATCCTTAAAGCTTTATTCCTCAAAATTGAGAAAAAACACATAGGCATTTAAAAATTACCCCTAAACTGCAAATAAACACTTTCATATATTGTGATAATAGTGCAAAACAGTACAACTCCTACGGAGGACAACTCGGCTCTATCTCTATTACAAACGCATTTACTCTTTTGACTCGGCAATTCCATTTCTAGGAGTTTACCCTACAGATATACCTACACGTGTACAAGATGATATTATGTATAAGCTTATTCACTGAAGTTTTGTTTGAATAGCAAAAAGTGAAAACAATCCAATTGTCCATTCATAGGGGGTCTCGTTTAATGAAATATGGTACATTCCCACAAGCTATGTTGTTGTTAGGCGCTGTCAAGTCAATTCTGACTCACAGGGCTCATGTACAATAGAACAAAACACTGCCCAGTCCTGCGCCACCCTCCAACCTAAGGGGCTCATCTTCCAGCACTGTATCAGACAATATTCCGCTGCTATTCATAAGGTTTTCACTGGCCAGTGTTTTCAGAAGTAGACTGCCAGATCCTTCTTCCTAGTCTGTCTAGTCTGTAAGCTCTGCTGAAACCTGTCCACCATGAGTGACCCTCCTGGTATTTGAAATATTGGTGGCATAGCTTCCAGCGTCACAGCAATATGCAAACTACTACAGTACAACAAACCAAACAAAGGAATGGTGAACAGGCTGCCACCATAGAGAACAAAGAAGCTCCCTTTACATTATGTGGAGAGCTCTGGGATACACCATTCAATCAAAAAAAGTATGGTGCAGAACACTGTAGAGTATGCTAGCTTTCTTGTATGTTGGAATAAGAATCTATACTTATATGCATATAAAAACAATGGAAGGACAGACAAGAAAATGAAAAAAGTGGTAATCTGTGGAGTTATGGTTAACTGGATGATGGGGACAGGGGTGGTGTGACTGAATGTTACCTATTTAAAATAATCAGAAATGGTCCCTAACTTACAAGTGTCTGGTTATATGCTGTATGAAGTTCCTTGTAAACTCTGCACAATAAGTTCTGTCACTTACATCATTATGTGAAACATTAGATGGGCTAAGGTGCCACTGTGAACACTTTCAAAGAAAAGTGTGTAAAGTCACTTTCGTAGAGCTGATTACACCATACAAAGAATATTAAAAGACCTTTCAAAAATAATTTTATTTCTAATTAAAGGTTAAATAAATGTGCATTAGCAACCCCAAGGAGATGAGGGAAGACTAGCCTGGAGGGGATTACTTACTCTAGGTAACTTATGAAATTCACCGAACTGCCTGGGTACTTCTAAGAAGACAGACATTCAGTGATTTATGTGGGTTTCTAAAGTTTGTGGCATTTATTTGTACAGATGGGCTAAGTGAAAGCAGACAGACAAGAGCTTTAGCAACCATTCAAAAAAGCCAAACAAAACAATAATAATAAACCCAAGCACCTTGCAGACAACAGTCGATAAATATTTACTATAGAAATAAGGCATGTAAAAAATCCAGCTACTATTTTTTTGTGCATCCAACTTTCCCAAGAAGGATATAAATATATATTTCACAGACACCCTAGGGTTTATATACTAAGTGTTATGTACTATGACTCCATGAGTGGAGGGAGGAAGCAATGGTGCTGCTTTTCCTTTGTTTTAAAAGCTAATCTAGACTAAGAAATACAATAAAAATGTGCTTAACAGAACTCTATTGTTATATTCCATGACACAATAGTGATGTTCTAATTTATGCATCTTTAGATGAAAAAAGAGCCCTAGTGGTGCAGTGGTTAAAGTGCTCATCTGCTAACCAAAATGTTGGCAGTTTGAACTCACCAGCCACTGTGAGAGAAAGATGTGGCAGTCTGCTTCCGTAAAGATTTACAGCTTTGGAAAAACCCTATGTTGTTGTTGTGTGCCACTGAGTGGGTTCCAACTCATAGTGACCCTAATTAGGACGGAGTAGAACTGCCTCATGGGTTTCCAAGGAGCGGCTCGTGCGTTTGAACTTCTGACCTTCTGGTTAGCAGCTGAACTCTTAACCACTACACCACCAGTTCTACTCTGTCCTATAGGACCACTCTGAGTTGGAATTGACTTCACAGCAGTGGGTTATAGATGTAAAGCTCTGAATCAAATACATACAGCAGAAAACATACAAGAAAAACTATAATAATAGTGTCTCTTATTCTTGTATTATAGGGTTTTCCGCTTTATTTTCCTTTGTATCTGGCAGTATTAGAAACAATTATAATATAGCTGCTTCATAAACACAGATGAGATTATCCACTCAGTGACCATTTTCTAAATGTGACTGACAAGCCAGAGAAACAATCTGGTTTAATATATGATCAAATTTAGGCTGATAAAAAAAAAAAGGTCATAGCTTTCAGACAGCAAATAAGACAGCAGAAATCTTTGATGTTTTGAAAAATTAAGAACAATGTATATGAGAGTGGTTTGTAAACTCTGAGTTTAGATCAAAAAGGAATACTTCACACGAACATATAAGAATTTCTAATAGTGGAATTATCATACAGGTCTATTGTCCGCTATCCAGCACTTGCAGTAATCACAGAATTTCTTTGGTTGTGACTTCCAGTAGTCTGCCCTGAAAAAGGGAAAAACAAGTCTAAATTTATTTGTAATGAAAAAAGGTTAAGTTTTGCAAGCTTTATATCCGTTTAGAGTTTGAAAAACAAATCTTTGCTAGTGAATCGTATTATACATACCATCCTGTTTTATTATTTGTCTGACGGAAACAGTCAATTGAAATTCTGTGTCCAGTTTGAAAAAAAAAAACTGCTCTGGTTTTATTTAAAAAACTCCACCAAATAAAACACAATTTAAAAATTTCTCAGGTTATTGCCATCAATGCGAAGAAATAAGGGACATCTTAGAGGCGAATATTTATCCTCTCCGTTCCTTTCTAGGTTTTGGAAAGGTTGCTGTAATGGAAATCTGAAGAAGCTCACGAAGTTTGCCTTAGATCAAGTTATTTCTACCGAAAGAACAAAGCACTAAAGATTACTCTGGTGGGAGACAGTGGTTCCTCCCAGACTATCAGTTAACACAATTTGTTCCGAAACCGCAAGGGAAGAGGTAATTGGAAAAGCTAAGGAACCTCTCAGTCGGCTGACCAAAAAAAGAAAAAAAGTCACTACACTAGAAGGGCAGACCGCTTCTCGTGGGCGGGGGAGGGCGACAGCGGAGGCGACAGCCCAAGTCTAGGAAGTTTCACCAAACTCCAGGTTTCCAGCCTTCCGAACCTGAAAAGGCGCCTGCAACCCGACTGCGCAGGAGGAGGGAAGCGCTCGACCGCACCGCAAAGTGCCATCCAACCCGCCACCTCAAGTGGCCGCCAGCTGCCAGGCTCCCACCCAAAAGCCCGAGCTCCACGCCCTCTGGGCGCTCCGTGGGGTAGCATTTCTACCCCGCCCAAAGAACCGACCCTCCAAGTCTGGTGCTGGTCCTGAGCGAGTTAAGAGAACGTCCGTCACGCCCCCGGCCGAAAAGCGGGGGCAGACTCGGCGGAGAAAGCCCCGCCTTGAGAAACAACACCTCGGTTGTTCAGAGCCTGAAACTCAACTCACATGACTCCGCGCGTCGCCCCGGGGTCTGGCTCCGATTTGTGCCCACCACGCGGGGCGAGTAAGAGACCAGCCGGCCGCGAGGCCTACTCGAGCCTCCGATCCCAGACACCTCCCTCTTTTCTGGAGACCAGCGTTCCACAGTTCCCAACTACGGGTGCCCAGACGACTCAATCCGCGTTTGAAATCTCCTCCTCTTCCCCTCCCCCTACAGGGGCGGTACTCCAGGATCCAGAGAGGCGGGGTGGGTATAAAGGGGTTGAGGTCATTGAGAAGGGGCGAAAGCGCGACGGGACGTGAGCTGAAGGGCAGGAACCTGAGGTCTCAACTTCACGCCTCCTCAACTTTTCTCCTGGTATTAGGATCCCCCATCCTCCTCCTAGGCTCGCTGGCTCTTGGCCAAGGAGCTCGCGCGCCGCCTCCGCCCCGAACGCAAACAGCTGTTCCCAGAGACGTCGCCGCCCTCAACTTTGCCAACAAATCCGCACGCACTTTGACCAGCGGAGCAACCCGGACCTGTGGGCTGGGGGCTGTTGGCGAAGTTAAAAAAGAAAGGTGAAACAGCTGGTTCTGGGGCCACGAGTTGCTTGGCTTAGCTTCAGAACTTTCCTTTGGTGGCGGAGCGCCTCGTCCCTCCCCCGCGACGCCCGCGCGCTCGGGCGGGGCTCGTTGCCTCGCTCGGCAGCGCGTGGGCAACGGTGGCCGCGGCTCGAGTGGCGTACAGGCGGTGGCGGGAGTAGCGGCAGCGAGGGTTGTAGCTACGGCAGCAGCGGCGCTTGCGCTTGTCAGGTGGGTCACGGCGACATTTTCACCAGCGCTTCCCATATGGTCTAGCGGTTAGGATTCCTGGTTTTCACCCAGGCGGCCCGGGTTCGACTCCCGGTATGGGAAAGTTGTGACGTTTTTAAAAATTGATTTGAGGAAATTGATTTTATTTTCAAGGGCCCTGGTTCTTTTCTTCTCCCCGTGTCCTCATGTTGGAGTTCAAATAAGTATTTGGAAAACGAACGTTAGTGAAGTTGTTAGTGGCGCCGTGAGCTGGGCTACCGGTTTGGAGTCGTCAGGTTTGCGCTGACCGGGCTAGAGGAGCGAGTGCGCTCGGGGTCCCTCTCCCTCTGGCCTTGGGCTCATGGGTTGATCGGCCGAGAAAGAGTTTTACTTTCCCTGGGACTGTCCCCTCCACCCTCCGGCCCCGAGCCGTAGTTTTCCAGACGTTCTGGAGGTGACGATTAACTCTGGCCTTGAGTTATCGCTTCCCAGCACCCCCCGTCGGACCCACACCCTCCGGCCGCCCCCTCCCAACTTGTCCCAAATAACGCGGGGCGTGTTTGCCCCCTGTCCCCGGCGACCGCAGGGCCCACGCCTCCGCTAGTATTCTTCGTTATCTCTCTGCCGGGTGTTTATGAGAACAATCAACCGCTCGGCACGCTGTGCTCCCTTTGGCAGCTTCCCGGGGGGCGCGCGCGAGGGCCCGCCCGGGATCACCTCGCGGGCGGCGTGGTGGGGCGGCGAGCGTCGGCGCCCTCGGGCGCGCTTTCCCGTCGGCGCATCCGCCAGTCCCCGCCCAATCGACAGCGCCGCCCGGCCTGGCCGCGTGTCCACCCCGGCCGGCGGCGGCCACTGAGCCTTTCCCAGTCCCGGGGCCGGTCTGTGAGGTCATCCCAGCTTGACATTCGGGGGCTCTCGAGGCAGCTCGGAAAAAGTACCCCAGACTCAAGAGCCACTGACCTGAGTGCGTTCTGCTTGGCAAGGCCCTTGGGGGAAGGGAATCTTCTTTACTTTTTAAAGAAAAATACGGTGATGAGATGTCTTTAAAGAAGAAAATTGACTTTCCAAAGGGTTTAATGTTTTGAGTGCATAAGATAAAAAATCCTGGGGTGATGGGTGGGGCTTAGAAGAGAGAAAATTGGCAGGAGACTGGGGAGGGGATGTTACAACAAAGTTTCACTGTATTTTTAAGTATAGAAGCCCTGTGTTTATTACAAAGAAGGGACAGCTGTGTCAGCAGCATGTGAGCTGTAAATGAAACAAAAGCGTTATCTTAAATGCAAGCTGAAATTAGAAAATAGGGTCGGCTATATAACGTTTAGTCTATTGGGCTTCTGGGGACAAATGAATAAGGAAAAAGTGATTCTTGTGGATGGGTTTCTGGTTAGTGCCATTACTGAGAGCTCAAGTCTTGTTTATGTGCGATCGCAAACTGTTCTGTATAGTTTTAACTGCACAGTAAGTTTTGAAATAATCTTTTAAGGTGATCTGTGTTTAAGAATTAACTAGTGTTCTGTGTCGCTTAACATCCATGATGTGTTCTGTGAAATAGGACATCATGTGATTTGGACATTATGCAAACACCATATTGTGGTTGAAGGTCTTTTCAGGCATTCGGTTCCAGAATAAGGAGGTTTCGTCCATATTAAAAATTTGCTGCGGCAAATAACTTCCCTGTACAATTAGATTATCTAAAGTTTCAACAAATTCTGCTGCCTTGCATCAGCGCTCGCAGATTCACCGCTCGCTTTCATATTATACAGCCAAAAACATGGTTTGAAGAGCTTGAACTACCCAGAGCTAGCACTAAACTTAATATCCTAGCCTAGCCCTGCTTTTTCTTTAAGCATCTGGTCGTGCCTTAGCCGTGATCATCAACGTTGGTCCTCAATCAATCAGCAGTTTCTCCATATCTGATATAGGTCCCTCTCGAATTTTCGCTAGCCTTGTAGCTTTCAGTGGAGTCCATCCTTTAACAGCTTGGAGAATTTTTTTTGTTTTTGAGGATCATCGGTTGTGGAGTGCGGCATGCCTAAATCTGCTACCTCCTGTTCTCCAATCGGGATTTCTGAACTCTGTTACCACCTTATGGGATATATATGCGGTTGGACATTGCCTGAATGGATGTTATGTGGCACATGACTATGTAATATTTTCAGTTATCTTCATTAGTTCAAATATTTGAGGACTTACTATAAATTAGGCACTATAAGTTGCTTTTTGAAAGTTACCAGTGTTCAAGTTTTTCATGTTAGGAAGTAGTGGATAGGGTGCTGAGTGGAATCATATTTTGGCGACTGTGATGAACTCTGATCTCCTGGAGGTTCTTCATCTTCTCTGTGCTCTAGATTTAGAGCCATATATTTAAAAAAAAATTTTTTTTTTATTGTAGATGAAGGTTTACAGAGCAAACAAGTTTCTCATTAAACAATTAATACATATATTGTTTTGTGACATTGGTTGCCAACCCCATGTCAGCACTCTCCCGTTCTCAACCTTGGGTTCCCCATTACCGGTTTTCCTGCCCCCTCCTGCCTTGTCGTCCTTGCCCCTGGGCTGGTGTGCCCATTTAGTCTCATTTTATGAGCCTGTCTAATCTTTGGCTGAAGGTGAACCTCAGGAATTGACTTCATTACTTAGCGAAAAGGATGCCCGGGGGCCATACTCTTAGGGCGTCTCCAATCTTTGTCAGACCAGTAAGTCTGATTTTTTTTTTTTTTTGTGAGTTAGAGTTTTGTTCTATATTTTTTTCCACCTCTGTTTGGGGCCCTCTATTGTGATCCTTGTCAGAGCAGTCAGTGGTGGTAGCCAGGCACCATCTAGTTGTGCTGGACTAAGTCTGGTGGGGGCTGTGGTAGTTGTGGTCCATTAGTCCTTTCGTCTAATGTTTCCCTCATGTCTTTGGTTTTCTTCATTTTCCCTTGCTTCTGAAGGGGTGAGACCAGTGGAGTATCTTAGATGGCAGCTCGCAAGCTTTTAAGACCCTAGACACTATTCACCAAAGTAGAGTGTAGAACATTTTCTTTTTTTTTAATTGTGCTTTAGGTCAAGGCTTACAGCTTAAGTTAATTTCTCGTACAAATGTTTTTACACATATTGTTATGTGACATTAGTTGCAGTCCCCACAGTGTGACAGCACGCTCCCCCTTTCCACCCCAGGTTTCTTGTGTCCGTTCAGCCAGTTCCTGTCCCTTCCTGCCTTCTCATCTTGCCTCCAGACAGGAGCTACCCATTTGGTCATGTGTATCAGACTGAAGTAAGAAGCACACTTCTCATGAGTATTATTTTTTGTTTTATAGTCCATTCTAATCTTTGTCTGAAGAGTGGGCTTTGGGGATAATTTTAGTTCTGGGTTAGCAGTGTTTGGGGGTCATAGTTTCGGGGGGTTCCTCTAGTCACTGTCAGACCATTAAGTCTGGTCTTTTTACATAAATTTGAGTTCTGCTCCAAACTTTTCTCCCATTCCGTCCAGGACTCTCTGTTGTGTTCCCTGTCAGGGCAGTTGTTGGTGGTAGCCGGGCACTATCTAGTTCTTCTGGACTCAGGCTGATGGAGTCTCTGCTTTATGTGGATCTTTAGTTTCTTGGGCTAATGTTTTCATTGTGTCTTTGGTGTTCTTCATTCTCCTTTGCTCCAAGTAAGTTGGGACCAATTGATGCATCTTAGATTGGCGCACACAAGCTTTTTAAGACCCCAGATGCCACTCACCCAAGTGGGCTGCAGAACATTTTCTTAATAAACTTTGTTGTGCCAGTTAACCTAGGTGTCCCCCAAAACTATGGTCCCCAGGCCCCAGGCCCAGCTACTCTGTCCCTCAGAGTGTTTGGATGTATTCAGGAAACGTCTTAGCTTTCTCTTGGGTCCAATTGTGCTGACTTCCCCTATATTGTGTGTTGTCCAGAGTCATAAATTCTTTATAACACATATCACTCACAAACTTCAGATTGAGATGCAAGAATTGTTGAGCAATTCCTGAATAGGTAATGAATGTGGAAAAGTTGGAGCCCTGGTGGGCCAGTGGTTAAGAGCTCAGGCTGCTAACCAAAACATCAGCAGTTGAAATCCATCCACCGCTCCTTGGAAGCCCTATGGGGCAGTTCTGCTCTGTCCTATAGGGTCGCTATGAGTCGAAATTGACTCAACAGCAACACAGTTTCATTTGGCTTTTTTGGTGGAAAAGTTTTATTTAAATAAGAAGTGGCATTATATGTCATTGTTAGGGAACCAATTACTATAGAATTAGGCCAAACTTTAGGAAGAAGGAAAGGCAACCTTTACCTTAATTGTCTCCAGAGTGGGTTTAAC